TGTGAATGTTGATCAGCATCAGTGGTTTTTCTACTCAAATCTTTCACAGAATATTGGTACATTGGATCATATGATAGAAAAAATATCACATGCCCTTCCATATCAGCTTAGCACACAGGAGTGTAGGAATTTCTCCTCTTGTACAGATGTAGCTCACGGTACAGATCATGCGGTTATCTCAGTCATCCGAATCCATCTCGTCAAATGGCAAAGGTACAGCCTGTACTGGCCTGAACTTGCCAACATTGTTTAGGTATTCATTCTCCAACCTATTCAATGAAAGAGCTTTCCAAAGGTTAGAAACGAGGCCTTAGAAGTGCAAAAGGATAGATCCAAAGGGGGTAGAAAATACCTGTAGAAATTCCAATGCCCTCTTCGGATAACTTCTAAAGAAGCCAAGAAGAATTCCAGCAAATTATGCTCAACAACTGATTGGTTTCTTAACTTTATCACAGCTTCTACCCAAGCAATTCTCAGAACAACATTCAAGGCCTGCAATTCAGTTTCTTATTTAATTCAGAACTTCTATTTGAAAACTGTAAGACCAAGAAGTCATAACCAAAGTTTAGTTGGTGGGAGAACACTCACCATAGACAGGTAGTAAATGCTTTTCTTCTTTAGAATCAGACGATCTCGAAGCCATGGATTTTTGGAACTCCGGTTTAGAAGTCCCCAGTCCTTAACAAAATCCCAGTATAACTGATATAACGTGGCCACTACAGAAGTAACCAAGACTATAGCAAACCCGAGGTGGCTCCGGTTCTGCGAATTATTATATGCTAACCTGACACCGGCTGCCACCATGGCTGAGACATATTTCCCCATATTAGCCAAATTGGAAATGTCATTTTTATCATACCATTTTCTCGCACACTAGCAAAGACAATGAAAATATCTGTTAGTTGGACAAAACAAACAGGTAATTGCATTGTCTGGAAGTTAAGAAAACTAAGAAACTGATGCTGTAAAACATGTCAACTTGTTATGAAATTCAGTGGAATATAGTTATTACTAACAGGGTCCATGGCATGTTACCTGCAATGCACGCCAATAGTATGGTAAAAAGGAGATTACATAAGAGAGCTCTTTGAAGAATCTTCCCTCTTTGCAAGTTTCATGATGGTGTGTTCTGAAATTTCCAGCCAGAAAGTAGCATGCTGTGGATTCCAACTGTCTTAGCAACTGAATCTGTAAAAAGTAGAAAAGAAATAATGACTGACCATAAATGGAGCTACTCAATAAAGTTTCTTACAATGGAGAGGAATTGACATCTTAACCTAAAACTGTGGATGCTTTGAATTCTGAATTTTGGTATCAAAGCTTTTCCACCTAAGGTAATGTTTTTCATGGAGTGATTACCTGACTAGTAAGCTGGTCAGCCATGAAAAAGTCTACTAAAACAACCTGTATAGATGGTATAGCCAAGCGAGATATTACTTTAGTCGCAATGTTCAAAGAACTATCACATGAAATCAGATTCTAAAATTGAAGAAAATGTGCCTATAGAGAATATACCTTATAAAATGGAGAGCAGACTATGTTACGCATGACACGGAGGAAGCAAAAGCGAGTTGGCCGATACAAGGTGTCAAAAGGGCATACGAGCAAAGCTATGAAAATCTGACATTAAAGTTGATAACTAGTACTGAGTTGATCTATCTAAGTATCAAGATAATTAGGGATGGCAAGTGACTAATTGTGACGAATGGATGACTTATACTAACCAGCAGGAGAATTCCAGGGATAGTGTCAACATGGCTGGGTGAAAAGCCGCTGGCCCTTAAGAGTAGGTGGATGATCATTGCTCCAACCACAGCAGTCATGAAAGTGGTGCAAATTAGAAATGCATCTCTGTATTTAAGCGCTGTGCTTGGTTGAAACTCAAAAATGAAGTTATAATTGATTCTTGTACTCTTCCACATGAACAGATTGCACCCATACATGAACAAGTGCAAGCTTATCAATGCAAACACGCTGCAAAAAAACAAAGGATTTGATACCTTTAAGATTTAGGATGTTGAATTCTTAAGCTTTTTTCACCTCATTTTGAAACTCTGCATGATATAAAAGGCTTATATTCTATCTCAGTTATATTTTAAAAGTTATACTAAGGAGAATATGATGTAAGCACCTGAAAACTGGGTAGACAGTTTCCATGTAAGGTGTTTGTGAGCTAGCGGAGAATACGCCAGACAAATGAGCCAGCATAATGTAAACACAAAACAGTGATACAAAACAACCTGTAAACAAGCCTGCAACAAACAAAAGCCAAAAAGAGGAACTTGGTTAGTGAATCAGAAGCAAGGTGAAATTTCAAGAACATTAGCCTAATCAAAAGATGTTTTCACAGAAACCAACAATTTCATATCATTTGTAGTTTTGTTATTTTATTAGTTACTGGACAACCAGTTAATATATAAAAAAGTACTTGGAGTTAAGACCTTTCTGCCTCTAAAACACTCTCTGTTGTTCATATTAGTCATTCTAGTGACTAATCATTCTTAATTTTTAACTACAACAACCAAGAATTGTCATAAAGTAAAATGCAGCAGTGAATTAGATAGATGTAGAAAAATTACCAACAAAAAAGGTAACCATTTGGGAATCTTTCGGCTGTTGTGGTCTTAAAAACTTCATTGCTTTTTTCCTGTCATTGTTGGCAAAGTGCTTGGTGAACATAGACTCCACTTCGTCCATAAGTCTAACAACCTTCCAAATCCAAATATTGTATTACACAGAATAATTATTAGAAATCCATTAATATCATGGTCTAAAAGTCACAAAAAAAGTGTATGTATAACCAAATGGAGTTTCAATAACTTTTTTCACAATTAATTCCCTATTCGTAATTGTCATCATATTACAGAGCAAGATACTCACTTACCTTATCAGAACTAATGAAATGGGATCTTTTCACTGTTCTTAAATAATTTGTTGATGCCTGCTGGTTTGATACCTGTTCATACAGAAACAAACTGTCTCAATTTACTGAAAGTGAAATTCCTAAAGGTATTTGCATCATTAACATTGAGGCTGATATGTTACCACCTTACCTTATCAAACTTTTTTAGTATTTTTGCAAAAGCCACCATATTGAGTGAGCTGCCAAAAATGGTTAATGAATTAGGCTCTGTTCAAATTCTCAAAAAGAAAATTATTAGCAACTAGACAAGGGCCCTGCAACCATTGACCAAATTCATTATATCTACTAAAACCCAAGGCAAAACTTGTGCAACTTCTGCTAACAATTTGACTAAAATTAAACTTAATTTAACTTCTAATAGATAATATATTGCAAATTTAGTCAAGGAAATCATATATATCTTGTAAGTTTAACGTGGAAATTCAGACTCTCCTCGTATTTCATCAATTTAAAAAATTTTAGACTTTTATTTGAAAACTTGAAAGAAAATGGACCCTAAATTTCTCTTTTATGTCCTGCGTGATTGACTTCTTAATTACAATGGACAAGAGATATGATAGCGAAGTCTCTTTCAATGACAGCTAAGACATAACCATCAACCTCAATCACTTATTCAATATTTCTCCCATGCAGTTCTTACTTCATTCTTGATTTATGCAACAATATAAGGGGGAATAATAATAATAATAATAATAATGATAATAACCTGTAAGTTTTTAAAAGGCCAAGGCCTCGGTAGAGCTCCACAAAGGCACTCCTGATCGTCTTTTCAGCACATCGAATCTTCTTTTTGTTAATGAAATCTCCGGTTCCTTCTTTCTTGGTGTTGTTCACCAAATCTTCCCAAAGCATTGATGTGACAGCTACAATGGTTTGTGTGGCCGTGGTACCATCTGGTATGTCAATCCTCATAGACATCTTTGGTTTCCCTTTCTTTGTCTTGGTCATGGTTGTAGCATTGATGAAACTCACACCATTCCTCTCCAGTGCCGCAATCACTTCATCCGTTTGTGATGAGGTCTCTGAGGCACTATCATTCTCTTCTGTGGGACTCTCTGCATTAAAGGCTACAACTTAGAACAAAAAGTACTTATGGATTCAAAATT